TCAGATGAGGTAATGATTATCAAGTACTGTAAAATTATAAAAAAAATTATCAAGTACTGTATATATATACACATTTTTGTTTAATGCCTAAGCTTTGACTTAGTAATATATTGTAATGCATTTTTTGTTTGAACTTTGCAACTTGCTTAGGTTATTTGTGTTAACTATTACAAATTGTTAAAACATTCCCACATTTTAAAGACATTCCAAATGCAGTTATTTACCAAGCCTAAAATAATAATTGGCCAGAACATGGAACTGCATTTTTTGAATAGTAGTTTCAGGTGTAGGAGCCAGATTGGATCTATCTCATATTCTTGCGATGTGTGAGTGCATGGGTGCATGTGAGTGTACACTGGTGTGTTTCTATCAAGCAATAGGGTTCCTGTGACATTTTTAATAAAATAATTAAAATAATGAAATTGTTTAATACCACGAAGATAAATATTTTTTTCATATGATTCATAACTGACAATATCTAAGAATGATATCCAAAGTAAAAAGTACAATAGATCATATGAAACAGAAGGCAGTGTATCCTTGGTGGGAAGCAGTAGCTCAACTAAGCCTGCCATTGAAGTGTTAGGATTCCCCAGTTAAGGCCTAAACTCACCTACAGCATCACCCACCCATGACTCCAAAACCGTCAGAAATTTTGGAGACAGGAGTAGATCCTCGAGCCCACCAAATTCCAGCTGAATAACACCAAACCTGGGAAAGGAGATTGGGGAAGCATACTTGGAGCAAGTGGAAACAACAACAACTCCAAATTTGGATCATGAACAGATAAAGGGACCAAATACCAAAGGAAATTGGAGTTCAGGCTGTCCATTGTAAACGTGCAGCCTGGAAGAAACACCAACGCTGCCAGACGGCTGCTGCGTTTTTTTTGTTTCAGAAGGCGAGTGCGGTGACCCATAAGGCCATCCATACGGCAAATCGTGAGATTTGGAAATCTTTTGTCTCCACCATTACGACTGACTCCTCTGCCCTAAATCTGGAAGAAAATCCGTAAGATAGCGGGTAAGTTTGTTCCAGATGTCTCGCCGGTCTTTCACCTCTGTGGTGGATCCAGTGTCAGTCGCAACCAAACTGGGTACCAACTTTTTTTATTATTAGCTCTGATTCTCATCGTCCTCCATCTTTCCTTACTCATAAGCCCCTTCTTGAATCTTGTCCCTTAGATTTTTGCATTGTTACGACCCTCTCGGGACGCAACGGGGTCCTTACTCTGATGTTGTTAGAGGAAGATATATATATCCGTTCCCAAGCCAGTAGTGGCTATCAAGGGATGAGATCCGTGACGCAAGTAACTTAAAGGGAGTAGGGAAAGAAAGCTAAGAACTTAATATTATAATTTTCACCATCACCGATTAAATATATAAAATAAAAGAGTGCACAAGGGGGAGGGATATTAACACTTGACAAGGGGATTCTTCACAATATAGTCTTCTGCTGAAGACTCTGGATTCAGAAGCTAGGCGCTGAGTCCTTGGTGCTTTCTTCGTGGCCACACAACGAATTCTTCAAAGAAGCTGAGCCTACCCTGGCCACAGGTCAGCCAAAACACATGTCCACTGGGGGCACCGCCGTGGAGGCCGTCAACCACACGTCCAGCTGGTCTGCTGGCAGGTTCTGAGCCAACAAGGCTGGTACGGCCACTCCACGAACGATAAAAGGGGAACGCCCTAGACAGGAGCCTCGTGTGACACCACAAATCACTCTCCTATCTTCAGTACCCCAGTGGATGATCGTCTCCAACAGTCGGTCCCGGGTAAATCCTTTTACTGCCACTCCACTGGCAGGCTAACACACCACAGTGTTCTTCCGGGGGGACGACTTCACAACAGCTGCAGCAAGGTTCAAGGTATGGAGACTGGCTGCCTCGGGTAGACTGCCTCAACCTTCAACACAGCGGTCCCAGGTCGACTCTGTAAACAGACACGTCATCAATGACTGGGACACACTAAAACACCTCACTTACAGGCTCGGGCACAAACACCTGACGTATCCAGTCCATAGATGGCGCTGTCGTCAGAGCACCACCTCACCAGAGGTCAGGAGCGGCTATGTTGTGAGCTGCACAGGACTGGAAACTGGCCCTTGTGGCTGGTACACCTTGTCCTCACCAGGTGTCGTCGTCCGTTTGGCGGGGGTTTCGGGAGCTGGCCAACAGATGGCGTGGTCGTTACTGCTCCGTGCTCAGACGCTGGATCCGGGTTCGTAACATGCATAAATCTCCAGCTTCCCTATAATGACACCTTTCACTCAGAACTCCAGTTTGCTCTGACCCTCTGCAGTTCTATGGCACCGGGCTCAGATGGCATTCATTACGAGATGCTTCGCCATCTCCCTCCATGTACATTTCAGTATTTACTGAATATGTATATCCGTATCTGGGAGTCGTCATCAGTCCCTGAGGACTGGCTTGAGGTGGTTCTTCCTATTCAGAAAAACAGGTTCTTTAAGGTCATCCCTTAAGGACTTCCGCCCCATTGCCCTCACGAGTTGCATCTGCAAATTCTTTGAACGTATGGTCAATGTCTGATGTGTTTCTTGGAACACTCACCACCTCTTCCCTTCTCAATTTGGCTTTCGCAGGTGTCTCAGCACGACTTCTGTCTTGGTGAACTTGGAGGTCTATATTCGTACTGCCTTTGCTGTGAAGACCTCCATTGTTGCTGTCGTTTTTGACCTGGAAAAGGTGTATGACACCACCTGGAGATACCATATTCTGTCCCAACTCCGTTTTTTTGCCCTTCGTGGTAATCTCTCTCTTCCTACAAAGCTTCCTCTCAAGTCGTTCCTTTAGTGAGACTTGCTACCATTCTCTTTGCCTCTTTCTGGCAATATGAAGGTGTGCCCCAAAGTAGTGTTCTGAGCACTACTATTTTCCTGGTTGCCCTCAATGAACATCTTTCCTCCCTTCCCTCTGGCATTTTCTCAGCTCTCTATGTTGATGATCTTACCCTCTGCTTTCAAGGTGATGGCTCGCTTTTCCTCCAACGGCGGCTTCAACTTGCGACTGATGCCGTGTTGTCCTGGGCCACCAATCATGGCGTCAAGTTCTCTACAACTAAAACTTGTGCTATGACTTTTACTCGGAAGCAGGTCGTTCTTTGCCCCCCCCCCCCCCTTTGTCACTTTATGGTAATCCCCTTTTGTACAAAGATTCTGCTAAGCTTTTGGGGTTAATCTTTGACACTCGTTTGTCTTGGTCACCCCATATCTCTTACGTACCTCCGAGTTGAATGCTCTAAGGCTCTCAACTTACTGAAGATTTTTCCCATACTTCCTGGAAAGCTGATAGGCACAAGCTCCGCTCTTTATATTCCTCTCTCGTGCTGTTTAAACTCGATTATGGTTGCCCTGCTTACTTGTCTGCTTCCCTCCTACTCTTCGCCGTCTTGATGCTCTGCGCCATACTGGGTTAGGCCTCAGCTCTGGTGCCTTTCATTCGACTCGACCCTAAGCCTGTATGTTGAAACTGATATCCTGTCTCTACAGGATCGCTACTGTCTTTGCTACCTTGCGGGGTCCCTACCACATCCTCACTCCCCTTATGCCATATTTTGACCTTTACCCTTACTGTGGTCCTCGTTTCCATTTACCACCTCTTTATGTACAGTTGTCTCGTTTGCAAGGTTCTCTTTCAGTTCATGTTACCAATATTTCTCCTCGTGTTGTTACATCCTTGCCCCCATGGAGGGTCCCCCTTCCTAAGTTTTGTAAAACCTTCACCCACGTGACTAAAGCTTTTACCCCTCCTACAATTCTGAAACGCTTTTTCCTTGCACACTTTTCTTCAAACTCCCACTCCATTTCCATCTTCACAGACCTAATTCACTAAGTCTGCAGACGGTGTAGGCTACTCTGTTGTTTTTCCTGACCACACCTATATGTGTCGCCTGCCTCAAGAGACTAGCATCTGCACGGCAGAACTTCATACTATTTTGTATGCCCTTCATCGCTTCCTCACTGTCAATCTTCCTCTGTTGTTGTAGTTGACTCTCACAGTGCCTTCATGGCTCTGGAGTCCTTTAATGGAGTCCATCCTGTGGTAGATGAAATTCAACATTGGCTGTTTATCATCTTTAGCAGGTTTAAGACAGTGGAGTTTTGCTGGGTTCCTAGTCATATTGGTGTATACTCAACTAGTTATACTCACCTACTTGTGCTTGCAGGGGGTTGAGCTTTGGCTCTTTGGTCTTGCCTCTCAACTGTCAATCAACTGGTGTTCAGATTCCTGAGCCTATTGGGGAGGCTCCCAAACAGGAGGCCAGATAAAGGATACCGAATGGGAGACGAAGTCCTTCATGAAATGGACAGAGAAAGCTCTAGGAGTTGATATCACACCAAACCTATCTCCTGAAGCCCACATAAAAAGAATAACATCTGCGGCATATGCAAGGCTGGCTAACATCAGAACTGCCTTCAGGAACTTGTGCAAGGAATCATTCAGACACTTGTATACCACATATGTAAGATCAATCCTGGAATATGCAGCCCCAGCACGCAGCCCGTACCTTGTAAAGCACAAGACAAAGCTTGAAAAAGTTTGGAGGTATGCCACTTGGTTAGTCCCAGAACTAAGAGGCATGAGTTACAAGGAAAGGCTGCATAAAATGCACCTTACAACACTGGAAGACAGAAGAGTAAGGGGAGACATGATCACTACCTACAAAATTTTCAAAGGAATTGACAGGATAGATAAAGATAAACTGTTTAACACAGAAGGTACACGAACAAGGGGATACAGGTGGAAACCGAGTACCCAAATGAGCCACAGGGACGTTAGAAAAAATTTTCAATGTCAGAGTATGACATTTTCTGTGGCCTCTGTCTCATCTTCTCGGGCCAGAAGAGAATGAAGAAGATTACGGGCAAAATAGAAGGACAGAGCATGAGTATACAGCATATGGGGTACAACATCTAATAGTATGCAGCATTATACAGATTTTCATAAAATGGAGAACGCATGAGAAAATAAAACTACAAACTGCTGAATAATGGGAAAATTGTATTAGATAAGGACAAAGGACTTCTTAAATTAGAAAGGAATGATTGTGGAACACACAAACTTTACATTTCATAAATAATCCAATACATGCACTTCTCTTACTACTGTACTCTATTACCTTTCAGCTCTACTGTAAACATTTTTACTTAATTTTCAACCTTCCCTGAAGCTGTCTCGCTAATTTCTATCAGATTTAGGATTCAAAATAAGAACTCAATAACATAAATATTGAATTTTAACACTAACTATGAATTTTCAAATACAGTAATGCCTTAACCTGTAAAAATAATTATTTTCCTTATCAAAAGCAATTTTAAATAACAGCTGATAAAAAATGAAATACATAAGACTGTTTTTGAAGACAAGACAATGCTTTCTTACTTGTAATTATTTGATGTTTAACATCACAATGATTTTTCTCCATCTTTCTTTTTTCAACTGTCTTCATCATGGATCTCTTCATCATTGGCATGCTTAATATCAAATTCCTTACTCTCAGATTCCTCACTATTTGATTCCTCACTATCTGATTCCTCACTATCTGATTCCTCACTATCTGATTCCTCCACATAAACTCTCTGCCTATTTGTATTTTCTTTTAAAAGGTCACCTTCATCACCTTCTATGTCACTTTCACCAGACCCACTCATTTTGAATCCTTCAAGTCTACCACAGATAATTTTTTCTTTAACATCTTCACTATGTTCAACAAATTCAGATGGCCATTTGCTGTTTTGCATTATATACCGAATATGGTCTTTCATTAAAATCCTAACAATTTCTGCACGCACTTTATTTCCCTCGGGTATTGGTTCTGTAACTACATAGTCACCTCGCTTGATCCACACATGTTTCCGAAATTTAAGGGGCATAGAAGCCAAAAATTCTTCTCCATTTGCTGTTGTCACCTGTAGAAGAACAATACCTTGAGTAAGATATATTCACTCAGGTCTTCATGGTGGGGAAGGAGGGAGTGGGAAGGGAACAGACAAGGCAATGTTTGGTTTCCCTACCTCAACTTTATGAACAACCACAAGATGGTACCTACAAATTCAAATTAAAAAACTTCATTCATAAATGTCTGTTTAGTAAGTTTATAGTTGGGCGAGTTTATAAAAGTTTATAGTGAATGAATTACCTAAGTCATAACAACAACATTGCATGAATATTTGACAATGAGAGTACAATTTAAAGGACTAATACTGTATAAACAGATCATTCAATGAATTTATCCAAAGATTTTCACACCCTCAGCACTTTCAATGTATTCTAGGACTATCCCAAATCAAAATCACTCCCAACACACAGTTCACGCAATATAAATCTGACTTCCATAGGATTCAAAATGCCTGTAAGTGTAAGCAATTTCTTTCTGACGGTAGTTCTTTCAAAATTCCAATTACCCAGCTGGGGGTCTCCCTGCTTTTCCCTGCCGAATAGTAGTTGTATTCTATCCTGTAGACCTGCTACACCATTACATATATCACTCATTCTTAAGTGGTATTTCCTATGCTGCTAACACAAATTACATTAAAACTATGCATTAATAAAATAAAATAAAAAATAAAGAAATATAATATTTAATATTAGGAGAAATAATACCCACCCATTCCCGTCTGCCTGACACCAATCCAACTATGTACTCCCACCTGCCCGATACCCACCCAATCCACTCCTGCCCACCCAACGCCCACTCACCTGACATACACCCATCCACTCCTGTCCACCTAACACCCACATATTAGTCAGGCATTCACAGTTAGTCAAACAGTATGTCAGGCATGTCTCTATGTTATTACATAAGTGTAGTTACAAGGATGAGAGCTATGAACAAATCCACAAGGGCCGTGACGAGGATTCGAACCTGCGTCCGAGAGCATCCCAGACGCTGCCTTAATCGACTGAGTTACATAGAGAGGCTGCAGGATCCAGTAAGTTCAGTAGAACTTCAATTTCAACTCCTTTTGACCATGTCGTAGCTCAGTCGATAAAGGCAGCGTCTGGGATGATCTCGGACGCAGGTTCGAATCCTCGTCACGGCCCTTGTGGATTTGTTCATTTGATGCATCACGCAATTGTGATTTCTGTGTACTCACCTAATTGTGCTTGCGGGGGTTGAGCTCTGGCTCTTTGGTCCCGCCTCTCAACCGTCAATCAACTGGTGTACAGATTCCTGAGCCTATTGGGCTCTATCATATC